GGCAGCCATTTATGAAAGTGGTCTACGAAAGTTTCAATATGGATGAAACGCGAATAAGTTGTCGAAGGGCTTTTAAAATGAGTGGAACTCTAATCCAGCTTATCGAGGTACAGCAAATAATACTTTGTTTAAAGACGACGAAACGGCCCGGTAAACCCGATAATCACCAAATGACATTTTTGAACCTCTTCACCCTTCATATACTCTAGCATGTTTTCCCATGTTCTGGCATTTTCCGGTATGTTCCGGTGTTTCGGCTTCTAATGTTTCGGCGTTGTGTTGTTCCGGTGTCCCGGCGTATTCCGGTGTGTTCAAGCGTTACTAGTTTTGTAGCTCTGTTGGTCAGTACATACCATTCTATAAGCAATATGAGCAGTTTTTCGGGTTTTATGATGAGTTTTAGATTTTTCAACCTAATGAAGCCTTCACCGAAACTTTTCTCATTCCTGGGCATCAAATTGACGTTCACTTATAAACAAATGTCGGCAAGCACTTTGTGAAGAAATTAAAGGCTCGTCACTGTCAACGCTCTCGAAAACAAAACTCAGCGGACTACAAGGTATAAGTTGTTAAACGGCGTGTACAGGTAGGAACACAGTACACCGCCTTACTGTTTGTTTGTGTGTATTTGTTTGTTTGTTTTTTTTTTTAATTTATCGCTTTGTTGAAATCTTACTGGTTTTAGTACACGCCACGAGAAACAGCCAAGTAAATCTACCAATTTGTTACTGTTTCAACATGGCTGCCAAGGCTTCACAGCACAGAGCGCGGTTTATCCTCTAATGATGAGATTTATTCTCGTTTTCAAATTTCTTTGGTCATTTGAAAAAGAAACAGGCAAGCAATGAAACAAGGCAACAAAAACTTGATGAGCAGACAAGAAACACTGCAATGAAGAAACCCTGCACCTTTAATGGTGAAGCACAACTAGCGGCTGGATTAAATTGAATTGCATGGTAAGTAAGCAGAAGCCAATGAACTGATTTTTTAATCTCATAACAGCCTAAAGTCAATTTACAAAACGTAACGTAAGCAATCCGTCAGAAAGCTCATTAAACATGTCTGTTTCTTTAAGACGATATCAGAAAGGGAAACAATCGATACGGTGTTCACATATTTAATTCAGATAAATCAAAACGCGCCTGGGCTGCTAGTCGGTCATAACCAGAATTTTCTCTTCGTGTTTTTCCTTATGGCCAAAAGTCCGAAAAATGAGTCCTATGGAAGGCAGGGAACTTCCAAGTCCACTACGACGCAATTTGACCTACCAAATCGCAATATATTAGACAGCCTTGATAGTTAACGTCCAGCGAGCAGTCCTTCACATATGACCAATATCACTGTGGCCCAAGCGTTTCCTCGCTCGCGGAAAAGTTTGAGGACTCCAGCAAGCGAACCGACGACAAGTCTGCGAAGGATGAGGCACTGAAAACAAGCCAGCAAAGATATCTCGCCCGCCAGGTTCGCGTAAGGCCTCAAACTTTCTCGTGGCACAGGTGCTAACAAGGAGGGCTTGCTTGCAGACTAGAAAGATAAATGCCTAGATTATTTCCCTAGTATATCCAGTAATGCACGCTAAGATATTCAAGCTACGTAATAGTAATATTTAACTCAATTTCAGAAAAAAAAAATTTGAAGCATAGTTATGAGGCATGCTACATATCGCGGTTGTCTCATTATTGAGTGTAATAAAATGAAGTGTTTGCTTTAACATTAGAACATCGTCAGTCTCCTCCGTTATTGTCTTCTGTGATATTAATGTGTGTCCTCTGCAAGAAATTAAGGAATAACGAGTTAGTCATTGACTATTTGAGAAGACTGAATACGACTGGGAACAGTGGTTGAATATAAATTAAACCTAAGTAAAGAATCAAGTCAGTAAAAGGACAAAGGAAGAACGTGGTGGATAGATTTTGAATGGATCAATGAAAAGATCGATAGATGCATAGAAGGATGGACAAATGGATGGATGGACGAATATACGAGTGAACGAGAGGACGAATGGACGAATGAACGAATGAAAGAATGGATAGATGGATGGACGAATGGACGAATGGACGAATGGACCAATGGACCAATAGACGAATGGAAGAATGGATGGATGGATAAATGGATGAATGGACGAATGCACGAATGGATAGATGAACGAATGGGTGAATGGATGGATGGAATAATGGATGTACGAATGGATGGATGGACTAACGAATCGACGAACGGACCAATGAATGGACGAATGGATAGATGGACTAATGAGCGAAAGACGAGGGGCTAACGGTCGAAACGTCAGCTTTTGTAATCGTTACGGAGGCCAATTTACCATTTGAACTTTGTTGATATATCCAAATTAACTCGTTACTCCCACCGACGCGGCCCCAAACAGTTTCTTTGGAAACTATCAGCCTTTATTCTAATGAACGAAAGGACGAATGGACGAATTAACGAATGGACGAATGGACGAATGGATGGATGAGCGAATGGGTGAATGAACGAATGGATGGATGGATGGATGAATGGACGAGTGGACGAGTGGACGTGTGGACGAGTGGACGAATAGACGAATGAACGAATAGACGAATGGACGAATGGACGAATGGGCAAGTGGACGAATGGACGAATGGATGGATGAGCGAATGGATGGTTGGACGAATGGATGGAGGGATGAATGGACGAGTGCATGAATGGACGAATGGAGGAATAGACGAATAGATGATTGGACAAATGGGGCGATGGATTGGGAGCATTTCGGGACATGAAATGGATTATTTGATTAATTACCTTAACTTCTCGCAAAAAAATTCCTCAGTTGCTTTGCAATCTCAGAAAACATTGGTCTCATCAAAGGATTTTCTTTCCAGCAAGAGCTCATTAGTTCATATCTAAAGATTCAACGCATTTTAGTAAACATCCTTTCCAAAGCTAGGATACTCTTAATATCTAAATTTACCTTATCAAGACTGGAAAGGGGCGTAAAGAGGTGCNGTGAGTAAACAAATAAGTGCAGCTACCAAAGCACAGAATACAGCAATTGCTGTCAGAGGAGGTGCTGAGTTTTGTTCTTCATTTTTGGAATCTGGCGGAGCAAAGATAATTATGCTAACAGTTAACAAAAGGATTGACAACTTTTATAGGTAAGTGAAAGCGCGACAAATTTTGCTGTGGATAAATTATTACATAAAAATAATTCTTCGAGGATCATATAAATAATTAACATCTAACCTCTCTTCAATACAGCCACTCTTGATTGGCTTCTTCCAATGCTATTATTTGCAATGCAGTGGTATTCTCCATAATCTTCCATATCTACCCCTGTAATTAACAGCTGGCTGCGAATCGTTCGGTTATTTTGAATGACTCTTGCTCTGGGGTTAGATTTTAAGGAATGTGAAGTGTTGTCCTTTACCCAGTTGATGGTTGGCCTCGGAAAACCCTTAGCAGTGCAATTGAAAATAACATTGGAACTGATCGAGACACTCTGGTTCTTTGGACCTTCAACAATCTCCGGTACTTGGGCACCTGAAAATTCTGACAAGAATGAATAATTAAAAGGGAATGTTGATCATTTTGTCTTTGTACATTATTAATGAGTGTATGCAGCCTACTTGTGTGGAGAGGAGGCTGCGTTAACGTAGATTTTCATCTTGAGAACTATAAGGAAAATGAACCATTGTGCATGACATGTGTCACCTTTCAGGGTAAGAAAAGCAGGGAAGGACAATTTTTTTCCAACGATGTTTTTTGCCTCGCATTGATATCCACCAAAATCTTCCTTGCTCACTCCTGACATGAACAGCTGGCTTTGTATGCTTTTGTAATCCAGAAGATGGTTAATAAGCTTGAGCCTTGGGTTGGACTGTAAGGTAAATGAAGCGTTGTTCTTGATCCATGATATGTTTGGTCTAGGAAAACCTTTGGAAGTGCAGGTGAAAGTTACATTGGCCCCTATATCAGCCCTTTGGTCCCGAGGAACTCCTATTAACTTTAGCGTAGCACCTGAAGGAAAAAGTTAAAATAGCTTAATTTAAATTCTCTTTTATTACTAGAGATAATTTGGCGTGGAGCTGATTGAAATCGAGGAAAAATGACGAAAAAGAAAATATTGCAGTTATTACATATTTTCGCAAAACAAGAAGACCAATTGTTAGAAATTAACTATCCATCTATAGTTGATTTCTCGTGTTCGGAAAGAACCATGTTAAGGGAAAATGTCTCTTACCGGAGTAGATCTGTCTGTATTTTTTTTTTCATTCATTACTATTGGTTAATTTTTTTTCTTATCAGGAAACGTCAGAGAACATATTCACAAGTTTATTTGTTTTTGTTTTTGTTTTTTACAGAATCGCATCGTTTTAGTGCATGAGAATCAGTTGCATATGCTATGTGCTAAGACATACATAAGGGTAATCAAGGCTCCTGATTCAAACTCAAATTTTAGTTATGCATTAAACCCACTCATTAAAAAATCATATAAATGATTCGTCATTCGTTTTCTTAGTGTAGAATTTCGTTCTTTTAATGTTGCATTTCGTATCAGCCGTTAAATAAGATGGCTCTTTGGAACTTTCCCTTAGCGATTACCTTTATCGACTATATTTTGGAATTGCCCATCTCTGCACTTCGGAAGTTTTTTTGAAGCTAATTACCCGGATAGTACTGCATCAAAACCCAATTCACAGCATCTGCATTTGCATAACGTCAATTAGAGGTATGATAAGTTTCTCACCTAGGATCCTTAACTCAAATGATTTCCTTGTGCAATGGCGATGGTATCCATTGCCTGCTTGACAAATGTAGCGGCCAGATTCGTCCACCGTCAGATTTTTAAGTACCAGAGGGCAGGTGTATCCGGCAGGGGCTTTTGAAGGCTGCTTACACGTAACTCTACCGCCTCCACCTCGTGGATCGTACCACTTGATATACTCGACCCATCTGTCTATATATTCTTCATCTTTCGTTCTTGGCTCCGCTTTACAATTCAGCGTTATGTTGGTACTAATGGGAAAACTTTTGTTTTCTGGAGTCGCAGAGATGTTGACAATGGGTCTTACTGGGAGAAACAGAGATAAAAATAAAATTGTTATGCCTAATTATAATTGAATAAACATCTGTTTTTAAAAACGTTGAAGTTTCAGAATATGTAGCTAATAGAGACACCTTTCCTTTTTCCATTACAAAAGGTGTTATACATATGTTGAGTTGGGAATATTTAAAGTGCCACTACGACGAAAATTTTCTCTCTGGTTTTGACATTTTTTAGCGACAGTCAAGTTAATATGGTTAGAACTGTACTATGCGATAACTTTTAGGTCGATGGAAGCGAAATACGCCTTGATATAGCTGGCCGAAATTCACGAAAAACCCGTCCGGCATTACTCAGCTCGCAACCGAGAGCCAGCGACTGAGCTGAAAAGCGGTTTTACACATGAGTTGGCCTGTGACGTCATGTGCGCGCTTTCGCATCGTGCTTCGTGTGTTGAGAGAGATTCCACAGTGGAAATCCTAGGCGTTTTATAAGATGTATTCTTCCTTGAACTTGAACTTTATTTTTATTTAGACACGGTAAATCTATCAGATAAAATAATAATATTATTACAATCTATTATTACAGTTACAATCTATTTTAATCTATATAAACATGATCTAAAATTTAAAAGTAAAATAGAAAAAAATAAAGAAATTCTGCTTTACATAGATGCCGTGTGTGTTTTGTCGATTCAGAGGAAGAAATTGCGACAACCATTTCGGAAGGATTGAAGTGATTTTGCTTGCCGCAATTCAGGGGACAAGCTATTCCANCAAATTGTTTTCAGTGAGATAACCGTAAACCTGGTCGTAAATGATACGCTCAAACACCTTAGCTACTATAGGGACGATAGAAATTGGGCGATAATTGTTTAAGTCGGAGTGATCTCCCTCTTTGAAAAGTGGGATAACCTTTGCGCATTTCCATTCCTGAGGGAAAACACCTGATCTGATGGACTGATTAAAAATAGAACACAATGGATCAGCTATCAGATCGGCGCACTCCCTAAGAAGTCGCGAAGATATCATATCTAAGCCTGTGGCTTTCGATTTACAAAGCTTAGACAAAAGTGAGAACACTTTAGAAGGATTAATACATTTTAACTCAAAACGTTTGTCAGTTCCCTCAAGGTAATGTAGGTGTGATGGACCATTATTAGAATAAATCTGGCTAGCAAGCTTGGGTCCAATAGAAGAAAAGTGATTGTTGAAGGCATCGGCCAGCTCAGGAGGGCCGTAAATAGAGTTACCGTTGCTTTTGATTTCTTTTATGGAACAATTATTAGTTTTCCTCGACATGAGCTCATTTACAATCCTCCATGTCTGGCGCGAATTGCCTTCGTTTTCATCTAATGCTCTTTTATAAAAGAGCTCTTTTGCTTTTTTGATTTCGTTATTAACTAGGTTGCGGCATTTTTTAAATTGTAGCCAGTCATTAGCATCCTTAGAACGCGATGCTTTCAATTTAAGAATATCTCTGTCATGCATTCGTTTCTTTAAGTAAGGTGTAATCCAAGGTGACTTTGAGACGCGCGCCCGTTTTACATGAAGTGGGGCATGCTTGTCTACACATTCCAGGAATAGTTGTTTCCATGCAGCCCACATTAAATTAGGATCAGAATAGCTTTCGATGCTACTCCAATCCTGTTGACCTATATCGTTACGAAAGTGATCAGAGTTAAAATTCTTAAATTTCCTATATCTCAGGTATTCCTCGAATTCTTCTTCCAAATGGCATACAAATTTAGCCACGTTTTTTAAGTGGAGCTGCGCATATGACGTCACTTCCGAAAGGCTCCAACTAGTGTCAAATCTTTTTGCCACACTCGGGAATTTTTTAATTGAGTAATGGGGGCGACCAAAAACGAAAAACAAGGTTGAAATAATCATACTTCCCGTGAGAATTTTGCGATTAAACTTGGCGTGGTAAGTGTTTCTTAATTCTAGTTTCCAGAAGGGAAAAGAAAAGGCAATGCGAGATTTTGATTATTGTGGCACTTTAAAGACTACACTTTCATTCCTACGAGCCTATTTCGTGATTACTCACTCATCAGGGGATTTTAGTGACAAGAATATTCTTGACCATCGTTTATATATTTCAAAATTTGCATAATAGGCGTGGCGGTAAATCTAAATACTTCGTTTAGGTCATTACGTTTGTGGGATGATAATTCAGGTCGGCAGGTGATTAGTAAATTTTCTTTCGGGTATAGGTTGCATCTTTTGCTTGTGCTATTGCAGGATGATCTTGTTGAAAGGATACGCCATGAAGTAAAGTGGTCAACGTTACTGTCCTTAAGAGTCCTGATATGTTTGCTGAGTTCGATAGAGTCTCTGTGTTTTGCGCGTCGGAATGATGCAGTGTGGTTTCTGTATCTTTTACTAAAGTCGTTTTCTTTAATTCCGATGTATTTATCAGTGGTGCTGTTGTCCTTACGTGTGACGGTGGCTTCGTAGATAACAGAAGGTTGTAGGCAGTTTCTGTTGATTGAGGATGTGTTCTTTTCTCGGCAGTTGCAAGTTTTGTTGTCTTTTATGTTGGCGTCACCTGCGGCGTTATTGATGTATTCCGAGGAATTTAAAATGCGTTGGTTATGGTTGTCGATGATCTGTTTAGTGTTATTCATGAAGCTGTAACTGGTCTTGACTGTATTGCAATTGAAGATTTTTCTAAGTTTTTGGTCTTTAGGGAAGTACTTGTCTAGTAGGGCAGGTCATTTGTGTCCGATACTGTGTTTTTGCTGGATGGAGGGTTGTACCAAAGTATACTGTTCCGTTGTCTGTTTTTAGTTTGTTAGTCGTAGGTGGTTCGCGGTGTAGAGTGTAGCAATATCCGCATTCGTCGAGGGCTTTTTGATATGGATGGGCGGCTTGGTCGAATGATGCGTAATTGATAAAAGATGCGGCTACGGATCACCATCAAAACCAAGAAACATACCATTAACATCCTAGACGTCACTTTTAAACTGAACAAAACTCCCCACCAGCCCTTCACAAAGCCTAACATCACGCGAATGATGTTTTCTCTTGTCAGATGAAAGGAAGGACGGTCGTTTGTTGATGCCGACGGGTATGTTCTTTTGGGTAATTGGTGGGTGGTTGCTTTCGCGATGGACGGGCATTCATCTAAAGGTATCTTAGTGCTCTCTGAGTATGCCGAAAGCGTAGAGAGTCGGGTAAAAGAAATATATTCGCAAAAGATCTCGGTCATTGGGATTGACCCCGCAAGCATACCAGCCGAGCAGTTCAGTCCACAATGGTTGCCTTCAGGGGAAGTCTCGAACTTGCTGAGTTACCTCGCTCTTGAGACCAGCTCCTACACCAACAAGCTGTTCAAGGCGTTCAAGAGTTTGGAGGGGTTTAATCAAATGGTGTTGAGATTTATAACCTCAGCTGTAGGCAAAGTAATCGCCGGCAAGTATGTCGTGAGAGCACGTGTTCGGCATTCACAGCGTATGAATAATCCTTTAGTGAACATTTGGGTCATTTCCGTAAACGATGGGACTATTTTTGCAGCCCATTGCTTGGGATACAAAGCTGGACTGCCTGAGTCATACTCACACATCGCGAGTGTCTTATTTTATTTAGAGGCAACTACACGAATTCATGGAAAGCTCGCTTGCACTCAGGTAAAATGCTCATGGATTTTGCCGACATGTGTCAATGAAGTGCCGTAAGCGAGGGCTAAGGACATCGGTTTTTCATCGCCTAAGAGGCTCAAAGAAAAGCTCGATCAGAAAATTGAGGATCTACAACAGCCACAAGCCTAGAACCATACAGCAACTTCTAGTTCTGGGACAGCGCCTCAGTGCGCGCAGTGTGCATCGGCGCCCTCGAAAGAGGAAAGGGATCAGTTCTATGCTAAACTCAGCCAGTGCAAAATTAAAGTAATAGCTTTAAGTCTAATCGATCCTTTTGCTGAGCAATTTATCGACCAAAGCCGCTCATTTGCGGTAGTTTCAGAGCTGTTTCGTACCGATAATTTGAGCTCTGACTATTCGGAACTGTTGTCGAAATGTATTCAAGTACAGCTAAACATTTCGGAAGAGCAAATCAAGCTGGTCGAAGAAACCATCAGGGCTCAGTCAAAAGGTACGGGCTCTTTTAAGCATTGTCCTGAAAGACCTGGCACTTCCATGAGTGGTTCTGTTTTTCTTACAAACCTATAACTTCCTTCGCAGAGCCTTAGTAAAACGATTTGCTATCCTAGTCTGTACAGACTTAACACCACCGCAGTCAAACATGGCTGCTAACATGAGGATGCTGCCATTCAGGCCTATCAAACACTCATAAAAAAGGGTCATACAAACTTTCGGGTGAATAAGTGTGGGTTGTACGTTTATCAATCAGGAATACCCATTCTTACATGCCACTCCAGAATTCCTCACTTTTTGTGATTGCTGTGGACCGGGATGGGGGGAAGTGAGATGCCGTCTCTGTATTGAAGATGCCAATCTTGAGGATTATGCTGCTCTAACGAACTGCTGTCTAGTTAGTGCGGATGGTGGAGGTTTCAAACTTAAGAGGTCACATAATTATTATTTTCAAGTTCAACAGCAGTTATTCACTCTGAAAGAGAGGAAGCATAATGACTTCATGGTTTATGCTATTGACAAGAAGGGCAATGCCCACTTGATAATGGAAGATTTTTACCTGATGAGCAGCATTGGGATAGAATACTTCCAAAACTCAAGGCCTTCTGGAGAATTTGTGTACTTCATGAAGATTTAGGTCACTGGTACACCAGAGGGTGCATAGTATAAGTGAAGAGGCCTGATTATGGTAGCATATGTTTTTTTAGAACAGTGCCTGATGGGGAAAAAATTTCACGCAGTAATGAGGATTGCCCATATGGCAAGTTTCACCCCTCGTGCCTTTCTCTTACTAATGTGACAATCCCTAAAAAGTGGTACTGCCCTCAGTGCTCAAGACTACAGCAATTCAATAGATATTCAAGGAAGCAAACTGCAGGCAAGGCGAAAGGCAAAGTGTCAGTCTCAGCTGTGTCTTCTCAAACTTCTTTGTGTGATACTGCAAAGTGAAAGCCCCTACTGCACACTTGTAAAATTTCATGGCTCGAACCTTACTAATGGCAAGCTCTTTCACCTGCAATGCCTAGGGCTAAAGAGGATACCAGCCAATCACAAGTCAACCTGGAATTGCTATATATGACGCACAGCAATAAAGGCCAATATAGCCCCTCTTACCACTTCAACACCTGCCACTTGTTCTTGTTGTTTTTTTCTTCTTCTGACGATGATGATGATGATAATGTTACTGTTGTTACAACTGGTCAGGGAGATCAGAACAAGACAGGAGCTCTTGCAACTCCAACACAAGATCATTTTTATTTGATATGCAACCCACATGGATGGCTAGATTGTTAAATCGTACAACAAGGTCACATTCTGTTGCATTATGAAATTCTGAACATTGAA